AGGGGAGGACAGGTACTAGTAAGAGGGATGAAAAACTTCAGTTTATAAAACAGTCATTAAGGGCAATTTGTCACATTTATTATATGTAGGTATAGAATAGAAAATCTGCTTGGTTTTGCCTGGTGCTGCTCATTAAACTATTTTGGAGAGGGAGGGGAAGTACTAAAAGCTATAGAAAGGATACATGCCCCCTCCCCCCAACACACACACACAGACACACACACACACACAAACACACCAGACAGGAGAGCACTGCCCTCTTTTCTCACCACAGAAATTGTTTGAACATGTCCTGTTATCATCGATCTAATAGAGACTGGGGTATTATATAATGCAATAATCAGGTCTGTGCACATATATACTGTAATACACACACCAGTAAGCAGGTGTATACCCTAGTAGCAGTGACATAAAAAGATCATCTGGATGAATGCTACACGTGTGCACATATGTGCAATGCTATGGTGTCTCACATGGTAAAGAACACTGTCAATTGATCTTCTGAAGTCTATTTAATAGTATAAGCCCGTTTTTTGCTCATGTTTGTATGTGTGGAAAGGCTAGCCACAATTTATATCATCTATTTTTATTCATTTATTTTTATTATTTATTTTACTATATTTATTATTATAATTATTATTATTTTATTTTTGAATGGGTAATGAGTCATTAATTTCATGTCCCTTTTGTGCATCAACAAGAATGTCTCCACTGACATATTGTTGAAATAGCTTCACAAGTGTTCAAAGTAATTTTCTTTCTTACTGGTTGGTTGAGGGGAGGAAAGCTTATGCATTAGTCTGAATCTAGAATGTAGTAGGTTATTATATCCAATTCAGTCATATATTATATGACTGAGTAAACAAAAATGTGATGAGCAATTATGTCAAAACATTATGCTGGTGGCACTGGAACATTTTTTTTTTCATCTGTTATTTAAATATTGTTTGATGCTGTATTGCCAAGTGACAAAAGTCATATTTATTCAATATAGATAAATNCTATCGCTACGGCCCCGACATTCAGTCCAGCTACTTTTCAAGATGGTTGGACTTTCGGTCCAGCAACTAATTTTCCTAAGAAGCAAACACTGTCTGGATCGATGTAAATCTCTGGGAATGCACCCTTAGATGTACCAAATTTGAAAATGTACATTATTAATATCATATAAGCTACAGTGATACATAAGAATTATTCCAATGCACACACTGATACGATAAAGATATATTTTTTAAATGTCATTGTTATGTTGCAGGTTTTTTAGATTCATCGAGTGACACCGATCACATTCAACCAAACACAAAGCTGGAGCTACCATTCTGGCTTGCCACCGCACTATGTAACAGACGACGTCATATTGTGGCTGTTGACATGCCTAAACAATATAAAGAGGGTTACAGGGAGATTCTCACTGCAGATGCCAATGTCGTTGATCTTCACAAACTTGGTCCATATTACTATACTTTTGGTTCACATTTATTGTGTTTCGAGCTTCCTGAAACGCCTGACATTGCCAAGTCGCTGTTACAGGTAAGTGTTATTCTGCTACACATGTATCATTTTGGTAAGTGAAACCAAAGGTGTACTATTCAACATTTAAATTTCTATTGACTTTCATTAACAATTAAATATGATTATGACCAGCTTTAGTTTTATATTTGTATAATTATGCTTTTGTTTAAAGCAAAAACATTTCGAGTTGGTGTTTATGTATGCAACCATTTTGCTTTCTTTCAGTGATTGTTACAAGAATCTTTAGCACGCGTGTCCTCTTAATGTAGAAGACTGTTCTTAAATCAGTATCTCATTATTTCTGTTTATTATAAGAACAACAGTTCTTAAATAATAACCAAAAATAAAAGTTGCTTTTATTTGGTTTCATTTTGATTTGTTAACTACTTTTCCTTTAAACTGATTTCAGACATTCCAGTCTAGATTAAGAAAGATCATGGATGCCTCCCAAAATGCATATTATGAGGATACAACAAATTTGACTGCAAAATTAGATGAGATGGAAAGGGACCTTTTTAAATGTGGCCAACAAGGACTCAGAGATTTTCAACGATGGGAAACAAGAGCCTCAGAACAATTGAAAACGTCTGAAATGGTTATTAACCACAGGAAAAGAAAGAGAGCTGTCATGGAGGAGACTTCCTAGTTTGATGACCTTGATGTTATGGCTGGGTTTACAGTTACCAACTCCAATTATTCTAGACTTTTTTAGAACAGACTCGCAATGTTTACAGGTGTTATTATATCGTTTATAAGACATTAGGCAATAGATCTATTCATCCTGGGTACTTGAAGTGATAATAACTCTTCGTTTCGGCCAAAAAATGAATTTTCCTGGAGTAAACAACAATTTTCTCATACTTACCAATGGTAAATGAATCTATTTTTACATTCAAAGTTAGTCCCTGTTTTTTTTCTAAAAAGTTTGGTTTTTTGTTAAAATCTCTTAAGAGATTTTAACAGAGTATATCCATCAATGGAGGTCACATGGTCTAAAGACAAGCTCAGATATCAGAATAATAGCTATAACTGCCGTTTTTGTGGTAAAATGGACTATATTATATTTCTATGAGTTATTCACAATGTTTTTATTATGAAATATATATCTCATATGAAGAGTTATTATCCCTTTAAATTTTTGCAACTGGGATTCAGACATTTTCTTGTCTCATATCATTAGTTATTCAGATATGTTGTGTTGTAACGGTGTATTTGGCAACATCGGCACAAGTTATATGATTAATATTGACTTGCATGGAGTCTAAAGCGGGTCAATATAATTACTGAAATTACACAGATAATGCTAAGAGAAAGTACAGCAAGCCTTAATTACATTGTAACATTATTAAGTTAAAGCAGGTCTTTGACAGACGTTTTAGAATGCACTGCCATTTGAAATTTATTTTTGAATGATGACTTTACTTGTGTTATCAAGGATTTGGGCTGCCAAAGCTTTGATTGAATTCATTAAAACAGTTCTAGGGAACTGTAATTTCCTGTCAAATGATTTGAATTATGCCAGTTTACAAATAATTATTAATTGAACTCTCTGCCAGCTGAACAATAACTAAATTGGTTAATACAGTGACTTTGTGCAATTAAATTCAAAATAAAATGACATTTTCATTGCATCAAATACAATTTTATTTTACTAACTCTCTCCTAATTGCCATCTTGTGCCATGGTTTGAGCTTTAGATTGAATTGTGAACCTGAAAAGTCTCTTTAAGATTCATATTCATACAATGTTTGAGTGCTCTTATTGAAAGTGGGCTTTTTTTTTTTTTTTTTTTTTTTTTTTTT